TGATGCACACAGTCAAATAGTTCCCAGGAAATATTACTGAAGAATAGTGAAAATTGCACCACTCACATACTTGTTATTAGTTGTTAACAAGTCAGTTCTGACTCTCAATCCTATGTACAACAGAAAGAAACACTGTCCAGCCTCCTCACAACTGTTGCTATGTTTGAGTCTATAGTTGCAACCATTGTGCCACTCTACCTCATTGGAAGGTCTTCCTCTTTATACTGACTCCTACTGTTGTTATTGTTGTATCTTCGACACATCATTAATCCATAGTAACTGGTTAAAAGATGTTATAACAGAAAATTTGAACTGACAATAACAGTAAAAAAGATAAAATTACTATAATGTATTTTTAATATAGCTAATCATCATTTTATTCATTTATTTAAAAAAAAAACCATTCCTGATAGGTGCCATCAAGTCCAGTACGATTCATAGCAAACAATAGACCTGAACCCTGGTCTATCCTGTGCCATTCTCATCATCTCTGACACACTAGAACCCACTGCTGAAGTTCATCTCATTGGAGATCTTCCTCTCCCTCACTGACCCTACGTCTTTCCAAGCATGATGTCCCTTTTCAAGAAATAGCCTTGCCTAGCCACATGTCCAAGGTATGAAAGATGAAGCTTCGCCACCTTTGCCTCCAAGGAGCACTCTGGCTGCACTTTTCCAAGATACATCTATTCTTTTGGCAGTCCAAGATTCTTCTGCAGCACAACTCGAAAGCAGCAATACTGTCAACCTTACTCGTTGTCCAGTTCTCTGATTGGTAGCAAGTGATTGAGAAGACCATGGCCTGAATCAGGCACAAGCTGTCTTCAAACTGACATCAGTGCTTTTCATGATTTTGGAGAGATCCCTGACTTGCCTAATGCCATACCTCTCCTGATTTCCTGACTGCTGGTACCAAGGATGCTGATTGTGGACCCAAACAAGATGAAATCATTGACAGCTTCAGTCCTTTCTCCATCTATTATAATGTTGACTGTGGTTCTGTGGTGAGAACCTTTGTTTTCTTCATGTTGAGATATAATCTGTACTGAAGGCTGTAGTCTTTTGGTCTTTGATCTTCTGCAGCAAGTGTCCCATATCCTCCTCACTTTGAGCAAGGAGACTAGTGTCATATGCATAACACAGGTTGTTGATGAGTCTTCCTCCAATCTGGCTGATACGTGCTCCTTCATAGAGTCCAGCTTCTTGAATTATTTGCACAGCATGCAGACTGAATAGGTATGGAGAAAAGATACAACCCTGATGCACACCTTTCCTGATTTTAAACCATGCAGTGTTCTCTTGCTCTGTTTGCATAACAGCTTTTTGGTCTAGGTATACATTCCTCATGAACACAATTAAGTGTTCTGGGATTCCCATTCTTGTCAATATTAGCCATATAATTGCTTATAGTAAAATTCTGTTGCATAGTCAGTAAAACACCAGTAGACATTATTCTGGTATTCTTTGCTTTCAATTAGTATCGCTCTGGCATCAGCAATGATATCCCTGCTGTAATAGCCTCTTCTAAACCCAGCTTGAACATCTGGAAGTTCTTTGTCAGTGTACTGCTTTTGCATTTTTGCTTGATCTTCAGCAATATTTTGTTTGCATGTAATATTAATGATCTAATTTTCACCTTCTGTTGGATCACCTTTCTTGTGAATGGGGATAAATATGGATCTCTTCCAGTCATATGGCCAGGTGACTGTCCTTTAAATTTCCTGGCATGGACTGATGAGCTGCATCTGTTAACGGAAACATATCAATAGGTATTCTGTCAGTCTAGAATTTTCATCAGGTAGTATTGTGTGGTTAAACCACACTTTGCTTCTGGATTGCTATTTAACAAATGGTTTTACTATTAACTTCCAGTTGTTGTTGTTGTTCTGTACCGTAGAGTTGGAACCAACCCATAGCTGACCCTCTGGTGGGTTTTCAGAGGCAGTTAATAGCACAGGAGGAGATTGCCCATCCTCCTATGGAGTAAATGGTGACCTCGAACTGCGTGCCTTTGGGATTGCAGCACAGCTTCTTACCAAGAATTATCCTAGATTCTGATTTCCTACCTGGTTTTACCATGTGCACCCCACTGAATAGGAACCAAACTTATACATCCCTTGTTGTTGTTAGGTGCTATTGAGTACGACTCCTAGTGACCCCAACAGTCCTTGTTAAGATGTTGTATTTTGCTTCTAATATAGATTCCATAAAGACTTTGAAGCTATATGGCTTTCTTGCCATACCTGTCTTCGAGTGAGTGTGTGAGAGTGTGTGTGTGTGTGTGTGTGTGTGTGTGTGTGTGTGTGTGTGTGTGTAGTCCTCAAAGAAGTTTGCAGCTGTGTGATGTTGAGGTCTCTCATCTTGTACCCTTTCTGGGTATTTATGGTGCTGAGTCCACCCAATGTCCAGTGAGGCAGCTTCTATATCCCAATCTTGTGCATGTGCTGTCTGCCTTTGTCTCTCTGTCTTCCCCTGCTTGCCTTTCTTTCTCTCTCTGACTCTATCTCTGTGTCACTCCCACCCCACAAACACATCTTGATAGTCAGGCTCCAATACTATCTTTGCTACTAGTAGCTGTTGTGTGTTCTGACAAGTGACTGTGCTCCACATCTTGGTTTCTGACTCTGAGAATTTGAACTTGTTGGTTTTCTTTGTGTGGCTTTGGGAAGAAAGTTAACACAAATGGAATCCTGGGTGCCTGGCTCTTAGAGAGGTTTGTCCTATCAGCATCAGTGCCCCTTTGCTGGCTCTCTGGATTTTGGTCCTACAGTTTGACCTTGCAGGCCGTGAGTGTCTCAGAATGCACTGAAATGGTTCTGACTCACTTGATGTCCATCAGGCCACACAAAGTCACCTCCTTGGGTCTGGTGACTGCCTGCTGGCTGCCACTGTGAGTGTGCAGGAGACAGGTTTGAACTGCCCTAACAGCCCAACTGAGGGACCTCCCACTGCTGGCCTCCTCTCCCCAGGCACGGGCAGCTGTGTCCACTGGGACCTTGGAGCCTAGTTCCTCAAACCCATTGAAAGGTGGTCCCCTGAGCAGTGTACGCAAAGGATGTGTTGAAAGGAAGCAGCTCAGGTGTGGAGCTGAGACCCCTGGGCAAGAGGTCTTTCAGTACAATGGTGGATTAAGACTCTTTTTTGTGTATCAGATGACATGATGTCCCAGATGTGGATGTTGAAGTGCAAGCCTGTTCCTTGATGGATTTCTTGAAGTGCCTGGAAACTGAGGGAGAAATGTCTTAAGTCACAGTTCCTGCCCCTCATCCCCTCGTAGCAGGGGACACTGGTCTTTGAGGCGGCACATTCTATGAAGGGTGTGGACAGTGAGGGCTGTCCTGGAATCAGTCCTGTGTTGCTCTGGAGTTGGTCACACAGTCTTCTCAGCAGTGCTATAGTCTGTCTGTGCAGTGATGGCAGTTTCTGAACTTAAGTCTCTGTGTTAAAATGGATTGGACTGATGCTGCATGTCCTGGGCTTTCTCCTTGGTGACTCCTTGTGACAGGGGCTAGGGAGTGGGGGGGTCACACTGAGATAGTCTCTGTCATCCTCCCAAGCCCAGCTGTGTAGAGACAGGCCTTTTTTCTCAGTACCCAGGCTAATGGGGGCAGATGACATTTGTACACAGAGCTAGGCTGCCAGGCTGTAGCCTCCTGGCCTTCAGAGGCCCTAGGTGGCACTGATGGGCTGGACACAGAGCCAGGAATGTGGCCAAAACAGCAGAGCTTGGCTGGAAACAGTTGCCAGCATGGTGTGGGTGGTAGCCACATGGGGCCTGGGCATGTGGGTGCTCTCTCCCAGGGGACTGAAAGTAGTGACAGTACAGGGGACAGTTCTGAGTGCAGGGTGAGACAGTGAAGATCCTTGGCTGAGGTAATTCAGAGAGTTACCCCCATAACAGCAGGGGGTAGTGAGGTCAGGCGTGTGCTGTGGGTGGCCAGGATTAGGTGTTAGAGGCAAATGTGTGGTCCAGTGTAGTAGGTGAGGGTTGGGTGATGGCTGGGGCTGGTGTAGGCATGTCCACAGCTTGTCTTTGACCACTGGAGTCAGCCAGAGAGCCCTTCTATCCACAGATGCTCACCAAGCCTTCCTTCTGCAGGCCCCACGCTGGGTGCTGAGGGATGACACAGCTTGAAGCCATGACCAAACCAGACAAAGCCACATTACAGGGAGCCAGGAGCCTGACAGAGTATTGGGTGGATTGCCGCAGGGAGGTGGGCCTGGAGCCAAAGCCCTGCATGCATCTGAGGAATTCTGAGCGTGTGCTTTCACAATACATTTCAGTGGCCCAGGGACAGAGGGGCCCTTTCTGGTGAGCCACGACAGAGATTCAGAGCAGGTGGTAGCTATAAGGGGGGGAAAGTGGTCAGATTCTAAATGCATCCAAAAGCAGAAGCCATAGAGCTGTGGGTTTGAGAGCAAGTGGATCGCTGGGCAGCAGTTTGGAGATGAGGGAGGTGGAGTAAAGTTTGGGGTGAGGAGGGGAGAACAGGTCAGGAACTCAGGCTGGAGAAGCTGTAGTGTGTGTTCCCGGGGAAGGGAGCAATTGGTGTGTCTTCTCACGAACTTGACCTTCCCTCCTCTCTCTGTTGCAGGTGTTCCTCCAGCCTTGCTGCCCAGAGCCAGCCTGGGGGTGTGCCTGGGCCCACCCAGCCCTGGAATGACCTCAGCCAATCAGGCCAACCCCTACAGCATTGTGTCCTCTGAGGAGGACGGGCTGCATCTGGTCACCATGTCAGGTGCCAACGGCTTTGGCAACGGGAAGGTGCACACAAGGCGCCGGGGCCGCCCCCGCTTCGTCAAGAAGAGTGGCCAATGCAATATTGAGTTCGCCAACATGGATGAGAAGTCTCAGCGCTACCTGGCTGACATGTTCACCACCTGCGTGGACATTCGCTGGCGCTACATGCTGCTCATCTTCTCCCTGGCCTTCCTTGCCTCCTGGCTGCTGTTTGGTGTCATCTTCTGGGTGATCGCAGTGGCGCATGGTGACTTGGAGCCCGCCGTGGCTGAAGGCCGGGGCCGCACCCCCTGTGTGCTGCAGGTCCATGGCTTCATGGCAGCCTTTCTCTTCTCCATTGAGACCCAGACCACCATTGGCTATGGGCTGCGCTGCGTGACCGAGGAGTGCCCCGTGGCCGTTTTCATGGTGGTGGCGCAGTCCATCGTGGGCTGCGTCATCGACTCCTTCATGATTGGCGCCATCATGGCCAAGATGGCCCGGCCCAAGAAACGGGCGCAGACACTGCTGTTCAGCCGCCACGCTGTGGTGGCCCTGCGTGACGGCAAACTCTGCCTCATGTGGCGGGTGGGCAACCTGCGCAAGAGTCACATCGTGGAGGCCCACGTGCGTGCCCAGCTCATCAAGCCACGCGTCACGGAGGAGGGCGAGTACATTCCCCTGGACCAGATTGACATCGACGTGGGCTTTGACAAGGGCCTTGATCGCATCTTTCTAGTCTCGCCTATCACCATCCTGCATGAGATTGATGAGGCCAGCCCGCTGTTTGGCCTCAGCCGGCAGGACCTGGAAACAGATGACTTCGAGATCGTGGTCATCCTGGAGGGCATGGTGGAAGCCACAGCCATGACCACGCAGGCCCGAAGCTCCTACTTGGCCAGTGAGATCCTCTGGGGTCACCGCTTTGAGCCAGTGCTGTTTGAGGAAAAGAACCAGTACAAGATCGACTATGCACACTTCCACAAGACCTACGAAGTGCCCTCCACACCCCGCTGCAGTGCCAAGGACCTAGTGGAGAACAAGTTCCTGCTGCCCAGCGCTGGCTCCTTCTGCTATGAGAATGAACTGGCCTTCCTGAGCCGTGATGAGGAGGACGAGGAGGACGGAGACCAGGACAGCTGCAGCCGTGATGGCCTTAGTCCCCAGAACAGGCACGAGTTTGACAGGCTGCAGGCAGGCGGAGGCAGCAGCCTTGAGCAGCGACCCTACAGACGGGAGTCAGAAATCTGAGCTGACCCCAGCCAAGGTCTAGTGCCTGCCCTGCCAGGGAATGGCCAGTGCCCCGCGAGGGTCTGAGTTTGAGCAGAAGGGCTGAGAGCCCAGGTTGCAGACTCAGTAGTCTATTAGTCGTTTTCCATTTCTTTACAGTCTCCTTGGAGGTTGATGGAAGAGTAAAATGTCCCAGGCATTAGGGACTGGGCCGGAGGAGTAGGGACATGGAGGTGGGTGCAGACGTAGGTGTTGGGCTGCACTGAGGCCAGAAATGATGAAAGAAGTGAAGCAGGTGGTCCGACTCCGGTTGGCAGAGCTGAGTGACTGCACAGAGCTCTAGTGCCCTTCACTGGTTTGTAGCATGGAGAGAAACACCAGTTCCAGTTTTCTCCATCTTAGCTTGGGTAAGACTGTTAAAAAATAAATTAAAGTGTGATTCCACTTTTTTTTTATCTGTTGTGGGGGGTGGGAAATTATAGGATTCCGCTGATAAGCCAGGATTCAAGAAGCTGGATGGAGGTTCCGGAAGGCTCTCTGAGGCTGGACTGGTCCGTCCTTAAGAAGGCCTGCACATGAGTGCAAGGCAGCAGCCCCACGTGACACAGAGATTACATGGCAGTGTCTTCCCACTAAGATTACTTAGATGCCATGATGATAGTAGAGACATCAAGATATACTCATGATCATAATAAAAGCCTTCTAGATGGGATGTGTCAGAGAACACGAGTCTTGAGTTTGACTCTGTATCTTAGAGATGCTACCAGGATGAAAGAGATGAAACCACGGAGAGGTTTCTTCCCCATCCCACATTTTCTGTACGTTTGATTCCTCCTCTGTTTCTGCCCGGGAGCCTTCATCCCCTCCACAGTGAGAGAGCAAGGTGGGAAAGGTGAGAATAGTTGGCATTTGGGAAAACTGGTTCTCCAGACTGATATAACAGGAAAGAAAATATAACCTGACCCTACTTGGCTTATGGAGTGAGCTATGTATTCGAGATGCTGACTTGTCTGGTGGAAGCTGTTTCTTGTAACTGCCCATCCTGCTCTTCTCTGCTTCCACAGCCCTATTGAGAAACTCCTGCCAGTCCATCCATCCTGCATATCATCTCCCTCCCCCATGGGCTGGCACAGGTGAGAACAGGTGTACACAGCCAGGCTGTGGTTTGCTGGCAGAGGAAAGATCTGAAGTACACAACATCATCCCCACCTTTCTTCAGTGTCAAACTGACATGCCTGGGGAATGTATTGAAAAATCAACCAAATAAGGAAAAATTCCTTCCAAGCTACAAGGTCCTCTCTCCCTTAAAACATTGGAGGGGAAGATGCTTTAATGGTGGCGAGCTACTCATGAGCCCCCTTCTTTCTGTGAGCATGGAAACAAATTACAACATAATTCACTCTTGGCAGAGAAAGATAGATGGGTCCAGGCCCTGGAGTGGACTGAAGCCCTTTAGCCCAGGATCTTAAGGAAGAGTTTGTCCCTTTCATCATCAGGCAGGCAGGAAATGTGTGGTTTTACCTGCCTATCTTAGTCTTATCAGCCTATGCCTGAGGATGTCCTGGAATAGGAAACTCAGGAACTCTTACCCAACTGTCCTTTGCAAGTGGAGAAACTGAAGCAGAGCAGAGAAGGGACTGACTGAGGATGTATGGTGAGAGTGAGCGGGGTGGGAGTAGTGCAGGCAAAAGTCAAGGTCTGCGTGGGCTTCTTGCCTTTTCTTCCTTCTCACTGAAGCTAAAGGTGACCTGGCACTGAGAACTGGGTCCTAGGGTGCTATATATGTACTTTCAGTCTCCTATGAGTGGCCGGCCAGTGCCAGGAATCCCGGAGACATTCAAACTCCCATCTGTATCCGAAATAGACCCAGCCTCAAACCCCAACCCTCATTTGTGGTCTGAAGGTCCAGCTGCAGCAGGTGGGAACAACTCTGTTTCTTTAGACCTGCAGGAGGAACCTCAGTTCCTCTCCCAAGTCTTGTCTCTTTCCTGAGTGACCAAGTGGCAGAGCCAAGAGCGGATGTTGCACATTGATACCACAGGCCTGTCATCCGCCCTGTCCTGTCAGATTCTCAGCTAAGGCCTGGACTCGGCAGGAATGACCACAGTCTTATGGTGCTTTGTTCAGCTGCCTTTCTGGGGACAGATAGATAGCTTTCCTCTCTTCTCCATGCCAGGCCAATTTCAGGCTGATGCTCCACTTCCACCCCCACTGCAGGACCACTCCTTGTTCAGCTCTGTGCCTGGTGCACCCTCTGCTCAGACATGGGCATCCTCTTCTGGTCTTCCTACTCCATGCTACACTCTTAATCTCTGTCCTCTGGGAAAACAGCCAAAGGCAGATAATGATGGTTGTTATGTATCATTGAGGTGGAACCAACTCATAGCTGGACCTCCAGCGCATTTTCAGAGACAGTAGATTGCATGGGAGCAGATTGTCCATCTTTCTCCCATGGGGCAGCTGGAAATGGAGCCCATTTTAAAACTCTCCTGCCCTCAATTCTTCTTCTCTCTTTCTATACATGTATTTATTTATTTGTTACTATGCTAACAACCAAATAGTTTCCCTCTTTAGTGCATTTGGGAGGTGAGGTGAGGGTAGATTGGAAGAGCTGCACGTTCAGGAAGGGCATGATCAGGGATGTGTATGTATGCAGTGAGTGTGTGGGAGTGTATCTGTGCAGGTACCTGTGTTTTATGCATGTGCGTGTAGGTACATATGCATGCACCAGTTTCATGGGCTGCCCCAGGCAGTGGAATTTCAAGGTGCTCTTACAAAGGTTAGAGATGGCCCAGGGCATAGAGCATTTGGTGCTCCCTCCAGCTCACGTATTTGTACCCATGAGCATGGCTCAGGTATATGGATTTGTGTATGAAATTAGTTGTGTATGAGTGAAGAATGTGTCTATTGTCTATTAACGATGCAGGGAGTGTGAGTGTCGTAGAAGTGTGCGTCACAATGATGTCTGCAATAGATGAGTCCATGGTTGCTATGTACACACATGTGCAAATGTGTTTGTGCACATGTGTGCTGCTTGTCGTGTGTTGAGGTGGAGCAATTTAAATTTTCCCTGCCAGTAAGGCTCACTTCCATCAGAATGGACACTGGCTAGGGGCATTGATCTCACTAGACCACTCTGTCCCCTGGACTCCACCTAGCTGCACATGTATGTATGAGGTGAGGGCTCTATTCCTTTATGCAAGGTGATACCTACCTGGAGGTGAGTGTTCACGTGTGGATTATGGATAGGAGGGCACAAATGTGACACTGCACATGAACATGTGAACATGCGTGACACTGGGGACCCCACTGTGTGCTGGGTTAGAAGTGAGCCAGCTGGAGCAACCTTTGGGAGCAAGTGTGACCATGTGTCCGTGTGTGTGTGTGTGTGTGTGTGTGTGTGCGCGCGCGCGCGCGCGCGCATGCGCGTGAGCATGCATGCATGCATGTGTGCAGGCCCCAGAGCTGTCTCTGGGGGCATGTACACATGGAAACAGCTCCTCAGAGCATGGCCATTCTCCTGTCCTCTTGATACTAAGGAAAAGCAAGCCTCATTGGGAAGAGCCACTGTTAAATGAACCCTGTACAAATGTGACTGTCTTATGTTGCAAAATGTTTTATCAATTGTTGTCAATGACGAAACTGGAGAGTTGTTGTTTTTTTTTTTAAATTTAGGTTGTTTATTTTTCATTTCAATGAACATCTACAGAGATTTTGGGATTCCATTCATTCATTGTTGCACCCTTCTCCCCGCACAAACCCCTCCTCCCTCCCCCCCATTTGCTCCTCTCCTTGGAGAGTTGTTTTTTTAAGTGCATAGTGGTGTCTAAAGATATAGGGCCTGAGATTAGACCACATTAAATGCATTTTGATGACTTTGAATGCCACTGTGTCAGATATATTTGACAGTCATTCCTTGCTTACTCCACTGCTTTTGTCCTTGGTTCCCAAGGCCTGAAATAATGAGACTCTTGGGGATAAAATCTAGGAAGGTAAGAACATGCAGCAGCTACAACCTCCTTATAGTTCTCCAGAATGACGTTCCAGCCATTCTCTTCTACCATCACCTCTTGCTCCTACACATGTGTGAGGCACATGGTAGGACAGAAGCTCAGCCTGGCACCCCAGACTTCCTAATGCCTCTTAACAGCTGCACAGCTGCTTTGCTTTCTCTGAACCTGCATCTTCCACATCTCTTCCTTCTACACAAGATGGTGACCTACCACAAACCAGATACCGTGCTAAGTGTGAAAGACAGCTGTGGACAGTGTGGCCCCTTTGCACCTCTTACTGTTATGAGAGGAAGCTAACAGAGCCAAGGGGGGTGATGCCAGAGAAAGGGGAGTAGGGAGAAACTTCAGGATGGTGTCTACTTTACTGATGTTGAGGTGCTGGGGGGCCAAGGGAATGGGATGAAAAGACAGCTGCCAGTGGATAGACTAGCCTGTGCAGAGACCCAGAGGAAGAGGCAAATGGCCTCCTCCTTGGGAATTTGGGGATCCTGGTGGAACCTGCAGAAGCATGATACTCAAGCAAATTAAACTTGAAATTTTTTTAATTAGTTTTATTATTGCAATATCTATATGATATGAAAATTGCCCATTTAATCATGTTTATGTTTGCCATTCACATTAGTCACATTAGTCACATTCACCACTCACTATTTCTAAAACTTTTCCAGGCAGATGTTGCCACCTTCTCAGTTGTTTATTATGAACAGTCAACAGAGAGCCATGATTTTACAGTGTTTTGTAGGGGGGAAGTAAGAAGACAACCACATTTTTTTTTGCCAGAAGCACTTCCATGAGCGGGTAATTCTCTCAGCTCCTGGGGAGGCACAGGACCCAGGGGAGCCTTATTTTGCTAAGCTTAGGTAACACTCCCAACACAGTCATTTTGGTGACCTGTGCTGGTGATAAGCAGGATGGAGATTGGGAGGAGCTGTGGCCATGAAGTCCAGCAAGGCTCCTGGGAATAATGATTGGCGTTGGGGGAGGGGACACATCCAGGTTAGTGTCCCTAGGGCTGTCCCTTCAGATCCCAGCAAACAGAATCCAAGATAAGGAGGCTAGAGTGCTACGACTGTGGCTTCAATCTTTGTATTACCCCACACCCCCAAGAGCCGTGCCCACAGTACTGACAGTGAGAGTAG